CACAGCAAAGCCTGACTGGCCTGGAGCTCGTTATGTAGACCAGGCTGTCCTAGAATTAGTAGTGATCCTCCTGCCTCTGCCTCCAGAACACCAGCATTACAGACAAGTACCACCTTGCCTACAACATAAGACAGAAACTTGGAGGATTTCACATACTTTGGAGGAAAGTATGTGAAATCATTATCATACCTAAATGATTAATAACAGCAATTCCCCTTGCTGTCCTAGACACACTGAACCAAATGGGCTTCTATCCCTAGCTCTGGCAGAGACGCCCTGGCTATGAAGTCAAGACTGAGAGAGGGGAGCATCAAGCAGGCCAAGAGGAATTATAATCAAGGATGCTAAGTGGCCTCAACACTGTATAAATGCTTGGGGGAGGGGTGCTGTGCCTGAGTCCTAGGACTCCCCAAGAAGATCACCACAGAGCCATACTTCCGCATGCAAAATCAAGGTTTTGTTTATTAAATTCGGGCTAGCACGGGTCCTCTGCCTCACAGTCTGACACAGCAGATGGAGGGAGAAGGACCCTGTCTACTACTGTAAGGGGTTTATAAAGACAAAAACCGCAATCAGTCACAAAGTTACAGTCTCAAAATACAAAATTACTTATCCTATATCACAATTGGCTAAAGATGTTAGTTTTTGAAAGGCTATTAGTATCTAAGGGGGATAGCAACAGCCCCCCCTGGTTACATCCTCCAGACGTGACCACAGGGGCTGCTTAAATATTGCCCAGCTGATATCACCCAGCTGATAGGGGAAGTTGGGTGGGGGAATGGGCTGCAGTCAGCAATTTCATGTAACTTAGGTTTCTCCATTAGCTAATAGTTCCCCTAAAGAGGGGGCCTACGGCCTTATCCTGGGGCTTGGGGTAGCCTTCAGCTCTTCTGCAGCCTTCAGCTTAACCTGGGGCTGGGGTATAGTTCAAGGTCCCAAAAGGGCCCAGTACAGAAATGAAATCTTTTCTGGCCTTTCAGAGGGAACCAGAGCAAAGAATTAGAGGTAGGGGCTGGAGAGATGGCTCAGCGGTTAAGAGCACTGACTGCTCTTCCAGAGGTCCTGAGTTCAATTCCCAGCAACCACATGGTAGCTCACAGCCATCTGTAATGAGATCTGGCGCCCTCTTCTGGCCTGCAAGCATAGAGATAGACAGAACACTGTATACATAATAATCTTTTTAAAAATCTTAAAAAAGAAAGGAAGGAAGGAATAAAGAAAGGAAGGAACAAAGAAACAAGAGCTAGAGGAAAGAAAAAAGAAAGAAAGAAAGAAAGAAAGAAAGAAAGAAAGAAAGAAAGAAGGAAGGAAGGAAGGAAGGAAGGAAGGAAGGAAGGAAGGAAGGAAAGAAAGAAAGAAAGAAGGAAAGAAAGAAAGAAAAAAGGAAGGGAGGAAGGAAGGAAGAAACAAGAGCTGGAGGCCGCCTTAGGAAAAGCTATTTAGAATCAGAGTCAAGAGAAGTGCTGGGATTATGGACATGGGCTACCATGCCCAGCCTGTGCACACTCTCCTAATGAAGAAGCAACAATCAGATTTGTGGGTTGTTTTAAGCTATGGTAGCTGCTTAGAGAATGGCGTCGAGGCTAAGAAAAACCAAGAAGCAGGCCACTAGCAGACAACTGCAGCAGTCACAGTACTGTGACTAGGGGGATGCAACAGGGAGATGCTGGACCAAGGACGAGCAGTGGTACCTAGAGATGTCCGTCACACCCACTAGCCGTGTCAGACAACTGTCAGTAAAGATACAGGAAGCTGGAATGCTCACATACTGCCAACAAGAATGTGAATGGGGCTGCCCTATTGGAGCAGCTGAGAAAGCTGAACACAGTTACCACAGAACCAGCGAACCCATCCCAGGAGAGCCAGAAGAGTTCACAGGAAAACTTACATGCAAATTCCCAGAACAGCATCATTCCTAACAGCCTCAAAGTAGATACTACTCAACTGATGTATGGGCAAAAAATGTGGGTCAGCCACAGAATGGGGAAAATATTCGACTAAAAAAAAAAAAAAAAAAAAAAAAAAGGACAAAGTATCAATCCGAATTTCGAAAGTTTGAAAACATAATTTAAAGAAACTAGACACCAAAGACTACAAATAGTATGATCCCGCTTACATCAGGTGACCAGAACAGCAAAGCCAAAGAGGCAGAAACGGATTTGTTTCCCAGAGACTGGGAAAGGGGTAACACGTGACTGGTGGTGGGCACAAGGCACATGTGCCACGGTGCACATGTGGAGGTCAGAAGGCAGCTTATGAGAGTCTACTCTCTCCTTCCATCGTGAGAGACCTAGGGATCAAATTTGGATCACCAGGCTTGGTGGTACGTGCCTTTATGAGCTGAGCCATCTTACCAGCTTGCTAAAGGGTTTGGAGGGTACCAAAAAATAGTTTGGAATTAGGTAGAAGTGTTGATTACATAATTGTGCAGGGGGGTGGAGGTCCACTGAACTGCACCCCCTCTTGTGGGCAGCAATGCTGGGATTGACCCTAGGGCTTCATACACGTGAGGCAAGTGCCTCACTGAGCCGCAGCCCTGAACTGCTTACTTCAGAAGGTGAAGAGTCCGAAAATAAGAATACAAAAATGCCAGGTGATGGTGGTGCGCGCCCTTAATCTCCCAGCATTCGGAGGCAGAGGCAGGCTGATCTCTGTGAGTTCCAGGCCAGCCTGGTCTACAAGAGCTAGTTCCAGGACAGGCTCCAAAGCTACAGAGAAACCCTGTCTTGAAAAACCAAAAAAAAAAAAAAATTTAAAATAATGTAGAAATAAAGAAATATAAAGTTGTAAGCTTAAGAGAATAAGAACAGACTGTCTGGAGCTTTCTAAGCAGCTTAAGGACTAACTATTAACAGTGGGTTACTTTGTTTTACAACCAGTAGCTCTACCTGTAAGGCCAAAGTGGCCCTCTGCAAACTAAGGGGCAGCTCTGCAAACTGAAAGTTAGCCCTAAGATAACACCCTGGCCACCTGTGATCAACAACGAAGGTGAACTGAGTTAATCTTTAGAGGGTAGGGATGTACGTGACTTTTGGTTTTGCATTGTCGCATACCCTTCTCTGCTCTGCGAAACTGGGGGTATCAGGGGAAGTGCAGAGCTTTGGTAAACACTATCAGGGACAGCCAGGGAAAAACAATGGACTAAATACAAACACTAGTCTAACTGATGAACTCTGTTAACGGAAATTGTTTAAAAAAAGGCAATTTGTATTTGAGTCTTACCTTGAGATTATAAAAATTCCTTTGTTCATGCCTAATGCTTGTTGCTTCTTGCTATAAAAAGGGCGAGTTCAGAAATTGTCCTTTGGCACAACCTTACGAGTCCATCTCTGGTTGTGGTCTCAGCGAGCTGATAAGCTTTTTGTGCCCCATGGAGATTTATATTTTTAATTTTTACATTTTTTTCCTGGAATAAAGTTTGCTTCTGGTTTACTAGATTTCAGTGGTCTGTCCTCTTCTTTGCGTGACCCCCATGGACCCAACAAAGAGTAAATCTTGTAGTATATGAATTATATCTCAATAGAAAGAAAAGATAATTGAGAGCAATCTTGGCCTTAAATATATGCAAATAAAAGAAAAGTCATAGCAAACAAAATCAAAGCCTCTACTCCTATTATTCCTTCTTTCCTTCCCTTTCCGCCTCTCTTCCTCCCTTCTGTCATTGTCCCTCCTGTCTTTGTTTCTTCCATTTAGTTTTGTGAGCCACTCTGTCCTTGAACTGATGATGATTCCTGCCTCGGCTTCTAGCACACTTGATTCATTTCTTATCTTATATTGTTTAAACTTCTTTTTTATAAATGACTGTCTTTATTTTTGTTTGCTTTTTTATTAATTTATTTGTACACATGTATTTGTCAGTATGAGTGTGTGTGCACGTGTGTGTACCTATGTGCATTGGTGGAGGGTATTAAGCATCCTTTTCTATCGCTCTCCATTTATTTCTTTGAGGCAGGGTCTCTCCCTGAGCCTAGGGCTCACATTTCCTTGGCTAGGCTGGGAGTCAGCTAGCTGCAGCCACCTTCTTGCCTCAGTTCCACTTGGAGCTGGGGTTACAGGCTTTTTCAGGGTCACCTAACTTGTTATGGCAGTGCCAGTCCTCATGACTACTGAGTCACTTCTCCAGTTTTTATCACATAAACTTCTAAAGGGTAAAGATTAAATAAAGAACTAAAAATACAAATATAAAGTCCAACCAACCAATAAAATGAAGCATGGCCAGTCACGTACTGTAGTTATGAACACTGATTGGCTCAGGCAATGCTCAGTCTCCCAGGCACCATAGGGCTATGCTGGGCTTAAATTTTTAAGTTTTTTTTTCCTTCAAAACAGAATTTCTCTGTGTAGCCCTGGCTGTCCTAGAACTCACTATGTAGACCAGGCTGGCCACAAACTCACAGAGCTCCACCTGCCTCTGCCTCCCAAGTGCTGGGACTAAAGGCATGATGCATCACCACTGCCCAGCTTAAAATTTTACCTTAACAAATCCAGTTTAAGCAAAGGATTGAATTCTCTTTTCTAATTCCATTTGAGAATACAGACACATCGTGTTTCTAATTATCATTGACTTGTAGAGTAATTTTAAAAAATTACCACCCTATACTGTACAGGTCAAAGGAAATATGATGTGAATTACATTTATGACTTGAAATGTTCTGGTAGCCACATCACAAAAAACAAAACATAAAAGATAAAGTTAACTTTAACAAAACATGTTTTGAACCCACTCAACTACCACCATTTTGATATGTAATATAATCATATAATAATCTATACAAGAATAATCTATTGTATAATAAGTATATAGCTATATAATGAAATTATTTTTGTATGTGGGGAGATGGTTTAAATGAGAAATGTCCCCTATAGGCTCAGGCATTTGAATACTTAGTCCTCAACTGGTGTCACTATCTGAAGCAGGTGTGGGGAAGTACAGCCGTGCTGGAGGAAGTACGTCACTGGGAGCAGGCTTTCCGGTTTAGCCCTCCCCACTTCCAGCTCAATTTCTCTGCTTCCTGCTTTCAATTCAAGATGTGATCGCTGCCAGGCAGTGGTGGCGCACGCCCAGCACTCACGAAGCAGAGGCAGGCGGATCTCTGTGAGCTCAAGGCCAGCCTGGTCTACTGAGTGAGTTCCAGGACAGCTAGAGCTGTTACACTGAGAAACAAAAGATGTGATTGCTCAGCTTCCTGCTTCTGCCCCTTACTGCCACCCTCTTCCCCCACGATGGACTCCTATCTCTCTGGAACTGTGAACCAAAATCTGGCACCAGGGCTCTATCTGGCTCTGCCATCTCAACCCTGGGTTTGCAAGCATGCCACAGTGCCTGGCTTTTTCATGTGGGTCCTGGGGACTTAACTCAAGTTCTCAGGCTTGTACAGCAAATCCTTACTGACTAAGTGTGGCCAGTGACTGTGTGGGGCAGTTTGAGCCTAGGATGGCTGTCACTTCCCATGGAGACCCATTTTTTTCCCATTTGCCATACAGGTTAAAGGTCATCTGCCTTACAAGACACACAGGAGACTCACATGAATGACATATGTGGAGCCCACAAAGCCTGACACCGACAGGAGGTATGAGACTCATTGTTATTGTGGCTGGATGAACCTGATCATGCATGCAGTTCCTAAGATAGCAACCAGGCACTCCATATGTGCTTGTGGGTGTGTGGTGCTTCTCCGTGGTTTTCTTTTCTCCTTTTTTAAGATTTATTATTTATTATGCTTACAATGTTCTGCCCTGCAGGCCAGAAGAGGGCGCCAGATCTCATTACAAATGGTTGTGAGTCACCATCTGGTTGCTGGGAATTGAACTCAGGACCTCTGGAAGAGCAGTCAGTGCTCTTAACCTCTGAGCCATCTCTCCAGCCCTTCTCTGTGGTTTTCATGAAGAGAAATTACTTTTGCTTCCCTTGGTGTTATGTGCATTGGTATAGTACTTAAGTGTGTGTCTAGAGTAGGGTCTCCCATGGAAGCGGGAGGATGGACTAGCTACTACTCCCTCTTCCTCACATCCTCCCTAGACTTGAAATTTTTCAAGACTAGAGCTTTGATTGCCTTTTGGTTGTGTTGTGTTTGTGTTATTGCTGGTGGGGTTTTGTTTTGTTTTGCCATACTTGGGATCAGCTTAGGGCTTCATGTACCAGAGGAAGGCATTATACCACCTGCGCCACAACCCAGCCCCTGGTTGTTTTTAAGTAGTAACAAGTCTTCCTTCCAAGACAGGGAGAAACTTGGTCCATCTGCTTTACCCATAGTACCTACACTCTGGCATACCCCAGGGGGCTGGAGAAAGAGGACAGTGCTCTGCATGGCAGATGATCCAACATCAGGAACTTGATCCTCTGAAAAATAACATTAGTGGCCTCATGTTTCCCCAGACTATGGAGAGTCTGCCTGCGAGCTGCCCGTCAGTCCTGCATTTCCAGCACCCAGGGAGTCTGCTCTCCTCTGGGAGTTTTGTTTCATCAGAGGCTCAGCTGGGAGAACAGTGTGTTAATGGTTCTATTCATCATCTGGTTTGGCTGGCTTCATCTCTGGGGATGGGTGCCAGAGGCCAGGGGAAGGAGCTTGTGCTGGGGCTCTGGGGATCTGTTTGGGCCCTTGGAAAGTGTGTTTGTTGGGAAGCATGTGCATGTCCAAATATAGGCAAATGGTTCCATACAGTCATACAATGGACTGCGATGATCTCCACTAGAAATGATGTTCAGGAAGAATCTAATGAAAAGAGAAAATGACTAATATGCTAAGCAAAAAAAAAAAAAGCAGGCAAGAAAACTTAATGGAATGTATACGTACATAGAATGATCTCGGACACTAAGGGAAATCATAGAAAGCAGCCTGTGCCCATGGGAGGGAGAGATCTGAGAGCAGGGAGAGTGGGATGCCTGCGACACGAAAGCAGGACTATTTGGGGGGCGTTAGGGTCCTCTGCAGAAAGAGAAGGGGGGATGGGGCAGAGAGAGAGAAGAGTAAGAACAAAGTAAAAGCAGGTCCAAAAAACGCCATGGGGAAACATTACATTGTACACTAACTTAGTCAGACAGAGGGCGGGTCACACTTTGTAAATACACTATGAATTACTATGCTGCCTTGGCTAGCCTGGATATGTAGACCAGATTGGCCTTCAATTTACAGAGACCAGCCTGCATCTGCTGGGATTAAAGACATGTGATGCATAAATCAGGCTCGGTGGTGCACATCTTTAAATCCAGCACTCAGGAGGCAGAGGCAGGGGGTACCTCTGAGTTTAAGGTCAGCCTGGACTACAGAGTGAGTTCCAGGCCAGCCAGGGCTACACAGAGAAACCCTGTTGTAAAAACAAACAAACAAACACACACACACAAAAGACGTGTGCCACCGTGCCTGGCCCACACTGCTCTTTGAAGCATGGGCTATGGGACCTGGAAACAAATCTGAAGACTCAACCTCAAAGCCCCTTGAGCAATGAAACAGTCACATCTTCAGTACTTCGCGGTCACTACCAACATTCTTCTAGTGATTTTAAGATTAAGTCAATCCTGAGTGCAGTGGAGGACAGAGGGCAGTTGTTGGTAGCACACAGTGAAAGAGACGCTTCCATAGGTGAGATGATTCATTTTGGAAAATTTGGTCTAAGCAAAATAATCTAACACCAGCCTCTGGCAGACAGGATTCTAGCAGGAAATACCAACCGTTAATTCCTCATGGTATCCACTATAGTTAATGAATCAATTTCTTCCTCGTGGACCGAGAACGGGGCTGTTTTGCATCTTTGGGAGAGGTATAGTTGAACCCGGCTTCCCAAATTCATTCATTATTGATTTCTTTCCCAGTCTGCTGGTGTTGGAAGGTGGGGTTGATCTGGGAGACACTGAATTTAGGCTGCTGCTATGGCAGTGCCTTTCTCATGTAAAGCGCATACCCTCTGGCATGCTTGCTGACTTTCTCTTGCCCACTTTCTGCCTTGCTACGACACAGCAAAAAGACCCTCCTTAATGAAACTCTCCCATCACAGACCTCATAGCCTTCAGAACTATGAACCAAATATATTTCTGGTCATTAAACGTCACACAGTCTAGCCAGACATGATGGTACATGCGTCTGATTCCAGCACTTAGGAGAAGGCAGGAGAATGTGGTGCCCAAGGCTATCCTCCACTGCATAACAAGTTCAAAGCCAGCCCAGGCTACACAAAATCCAGTCTCAAAAAAAAGTAAAATAAATAATAATTTCCCAGTTGGTATTCTGTTGTAGTAACATAAGGGGAACTGAGGAAACAGTCATTCGGTTTGCTTTATTGTAGGGTTTAATTCTCTAGTAGAAGTCTGGCTAAGAAAGAGGATTGCTGGGAGTTGGAGAGATGGCTCAGTGGTTAAAAGTGCCGGGTGCTCTTCCAGAGGACCGGGGTTCAATCCCCAGTAATCACATGATAGCGCATAACTGACTGTCACTCCTGTTCCAGGAGATCTGACACCCTCACACAGACAAACATGCAGGCAAAATACCAATGCACATGAAATAAAAACAAAAAAATTATTAAGTTGTCAGGCTTGGCAGCAAGTATCAAGAAAGAAAGAAGGGGGAGGGAAGGAGGAAAGGAGGCAGGCAAAGAGGATTGTCTACAGTATAGACAATCCACATTGAAGTCTCTACGAGGACCTAATCCTAGTTCTGTCCCTCCTTTGCTACTCTGGTCTACCCAGACCTTTCTAGACACCAGCTCTACACATCTAAACCTGGGGTTTCCAGAGAGGAGGCTCTATGAATGCTGTGAGGAAATCAGCTCCCTTTCTGATTGGTTGTGCAGGGATGGGGGATCCAGAGGGAGGCAGCTTGTAACTAGTTCTCCAAGGAAGCAATGTTGTTTTTTGCTAGCTCTGCAGACAAAACTCCCAGACACTTAAGGGTGAACCTAGATGATGGGAACTGAGACTTACTAATTGGCTCTAAGTGGTACAGGGATCACAGGTGGACTCAGCTGTGTGTGTGTGTTTTGTTGTTGTTGTTGTTGTTGTTTTGAGACAACGTTTCTCTGTAGCTTTGAAGCCTGTTCTGGAACTAGCTCTGTAGACCAGGCTGGCCTCGAACTCACAGAGAGCCACCTGCCTCTGCCTCCTGAGTGCTGGGATTAAAGGCGTGCGCCACCACCACCCGGCTCAGCTGTGTTTTGCTAAAAGTCTCAGTCCATGATTCCACAACCCTACGGAGCTGGGCGAGAAAGGACCAAGAGAAGGAAGAGAATGGAAGGACTGACAGACCTTCCCCCAACAAGCAGCTACCGCAGAATGTGAACGCTGAACTGACTTCACTGACAGTTTACAGACACTGGAGTAGAGTGGAGGGTCCCTGCCAAACGCACTTTTCAAAAAGTCTCAGAAGAGTGTAGCTCAATTCACAACTTTTGTAGATTCAATCAAGTCCTATAAGACTAGCATTTGGGGCAGGCAAGATGGGTCAGTGGTTTAGGGGGCCTGCTACCAAGACTGACAACCTGATCCTGGGAGAGGAGACCCAACTTCTGCAAGCTGACCTCTGACCTCCACAAGTGTGCTGTAGCAGGGGCAACCCACCCTAATAATAAGTCAAATAAAATAAAAATGACATTTGCAGATGTCCCTTGTCCTCTTCCTCGTCAGACTTGCACAGCAAGCACTTCTACCCTGGAACCCGATGACCTCATGTGACCCTCAGAATCTGTGGCAGGAGAAGAGAATAGACTTCCCAGAATTGTCTCCACACAGGCGGTGTGACATATGCAAGCCCACACTCACATAACACAAACATGCACATGTACAATCATGTACAAACATACAATAATAAATTTTTTAAAACTTGAAGAGGAAGAAGTAGTCATGGGGGAAGAGGAAGAAGATGGGGAAAGGGAGGCGGGAGAGGAGTTTGGGGACGAGCAGGAGGGGACAGCACTGAAATGATGCACCATGTTTACCTGGTGTGTGGTGGCAGACACTGCAGGTGGCACTTCTGAGCACAGGGACGGGGCATACAACCCCAGACTGGGGCTAGGAAATCTTTCTTTGTTTGTTTTTGTGGTTGGTTGTTTGAAGTTGTTTTTTGTTTTTGTTGTTGTTATTGTTGTTGATGGTTTGTTTTTTATTTTGTTTGTTTTGTTTTGAGACAGGGATTCTCTGTGTAGCCCTAACTGTCCTGGAACTCTATAGACAAGGCTGGCCTGGAACTCAGAGATCTATCTGCCTCTGCCTCCTGAGCGCTGGGATTAAAGGAGTGCGCCATCACCACTCAGTCAGGAAATCTTTCTAAAGGAGGTGACAATAAAGTGAGGGTTACAGGGACCTAGCATCCCACTTAGATGATGGAACTTTCAAAGGCACTGAAAGAGCATGTCAAGGCTTGGCAGGGATGAAGAACCAATGAATGGTCTCCAGCTGCAGCAAGGGGTGGGCAGAAGGAGAGGAATATTAGTGGCTTAAAGGGGTGCTGGCTCACCAAGGACCTCCTAAGCTCTATTGAGCAACTGAAGGTTTTTCCGCAGGGAGTGGCAAGATCATGGTTTCATCTTATAATAAGACTCTGGCAGCTGAGAGGAGGATAGTTTGCAATGTCAAGAGAAGAGA